TATCTCTGTCAAATAAACAAAATATTTTTTTAAATTAAAAAAAACATAAAAATAAAAATTCATATGAAAGAGCAAGGAGCCAAATATACATTTGTAGTACTTAAAGCAATGTGGTTTTTGTTCAGGAATAAGGCAAAGATCAAAAGAACAAGAGTCCAGAAACAGATGTACATAGATATGTGGGTATTTAGCGTATCATAAAATTGCTATTTTAAGTCTGTTAGAAGTGGTGGTAGAACAATTTGATTACCTTTTTATTTTCTAGTTATATATACCTTTTTAAATAGTTGCTCTAGAAATAACAATATGCACTTTTAACTTAGCATAATTTACATGGAGTTTATGAATTACTTCAGGTGAAATCTAGGAACCTTGAATGGTGTGCTTTCATTTACCTGCCCATCCCCAATCTTTAGTGCTGTCATACTATACTTCTTAAATTTACATTATAAATCCCCAAATAGAAGACCGCTTAATTTTTGCTTTAGTCATATCTTTTGAAGAAACTAAGAGGAAAACAATTATGCACACAGGTATATATATATGTATATCCTTTTCTATTTGTTATATACTTACCATTTCTGGAACTCTTCATTCCTTCCTATCAACTTGAGTAGCCACCTGGCACCATATTCATTTCCTTTCAACCTGAAGAATTTCCTTTGAAGGGTATTTCTTACAGTACAGTTTGCAGATGATGAATTCCTTCTGATTTTGATCATTTAAAAATGTCTTTAATCTGCCTTCATTTTTGATGAATTGTTTTGCTGGTTGAGTTTTTCTTTTCCACATTTTAAAAATGCTATTCCCAAATCTTCTGGCCTTCATTAATTCCCATGAGAAGCCAGTCACTACTTCTTCTATTGTTCCCCGCCCAAGCCGGTTTTATTGAGATATAATAAACATATAATGCTATATTAATTTAAGGTACATGTGCATACATATACACCACATCGTCCTTATCCATTCATCTATCAATTTTCATTATCTTTGAGTAAATACCCAGTAGTGGAATTACTGGATCATATGTGGTAGTTCATTTCTTAATTTTTTGAGGAACTTCCATACTGTTTTTCGCAGTGGTTGTACCAGTTTGCATTCCCACCAACAGTGCACAAAGGTTCCATTTTCTCTATATCTCACCCAACACTTGTTATTTCTTGTCTTTTTTATTTTAGCCATTCTGACAGGTATGAAGTGATATCTCATTGTGGTTTTGATTTGCATTTCCCTGATAAGGGATGTTGAATATCTTTCCATGTGTCTGTTGGCCATCTGTAGGTGTTCTTTGGTAAAATGGGTATTCAGGTCTCCTGCCCATTTTTAAATTGGATTATTTGTGTGTGAGAGGGAGTTGAGTAAGTTATTTATATATTTTGGATATTAACTGCTTATCAAATATATCATTTGCAAATATCTTCTCCCACTCAGTTTTTGGCCTTTTTCTTTTGGTGGTGGTTTTCTTCACTGTGCTGCAAAAAACTTTTGATGTAGTCTGAATAGTTTATTTTGGCTTTTGCTTCCCTTGCCTTAGGAGACACATCTAGAAAAATGTTGCTATGGCTAATGTCAGAGAAACACTACCTGTTTTTTAGGAATTTTATGGTTTCAGGTCTCACATTTAAGTCTTTAGTCCCTTTTGAGTTTATTTTTGTGTCTGGTATTAGAAACTGGTCCAGTTTCATTCTTTTACATGTAGCTGCCCAGTTTTTCCAGCACCATTTATGCTGGAAAAGACTGTCTTCCTCTCATTGTATATTTTTGCCTCCTTGGTCATACATACATCATGATTATATATAATTTTGGGTTTATTTCTGGGCTTTCTCTTCTGTTCCAGTCATCTATTGCTTTTGTGCCAGGACCATACTGTTTTTTATTACTACAGCTTTATAGTATACCTTGAAATCTAGAATTGTGATACCTCTTGCTTTGTTCTTTACCAAGATTACTTTGCCTACTCAGAGTCTTTTGTGGTTCCAAGCTAATTTCAGTAATATTTGTTCTCCTGTTGTGAAAAATGCTGTTGGTATTTTGATAGGGGTTATACTGAATCTGTACATTGCTTTGGGTAATACAGACATTTTAACAATGTAATTCTTCCAATCCAGGAGTATGGAATATCTTTCCATTTGTTTGTGTCATCTTCAATTTCCTTCATCAGTGTTTTATAGTTTTCACAGTATGGGTCTTTCAACTCTTTGGTTAAGTTTATTCCTAGGTATTTTATTCTGTTTGGTGCAACTGTAAATGGAGGTTTGTTGTTGTTGTTGTTGTTTTAAAGATTTTATTAGAGAGAGAGAGAGAATGAATGGGAGAGGGGCAGAGGGAGAGAGAATAGAAAACTTCCCACTAAACAGGGAGCCTGACACAGGACTCTATCCCCAGGACCCTGAGATCATGACCTGAGCTGAAAGCAGACGCTTAACCACACAGTGCCCCATGTAAATGGAGTCTCTTAATTTCTTTCTACTACTTTTTTGTTAATGTGTAGACATACTACTAATTTCTGAGTATTAATTTTGTATCCTTCAATTTTACTGACTTCATTTACTACTTCCAGTAGTTTTTTGTGGAGTCTTTAGGATTTTCTACATATAGTATTATGTCATCTGTAAACAGTCACCATTTAACCTATTTATAAAAATGAATACTTCTTTTTCTTGTCTGATTGCTGTGGTTAGGACTTCCAGGATTATGTTGAATAAAAGTAGTTAAGAGTGGACATCTTTGTCTTGTTCCAGATCTTAGGGGAAAAGTTCTCCATTTTTTACTGGTAAGATATTAGCCGTGGGTTTTTCATATATGGCCTTTATTGTGTTGAGGTATGCTTTCTCTAAGCATATTTTGTTGAGTTTTTATCATGAATGGATGTTGAATTTTATCAGATTTTTTTTTCTGCATCTATTGAGATGATCATATGATTTGTATCCTTTGTTTTGCTGATGTGGTGTATCTCACTGATTGTGAATACTGAACCATCCTTGCATCCCTGGAATAAATCCCACTTGATTATGGTGAATGATGCTTTTAATGTACTGGTGGATTTGGTTTGCTAATATTTTGTTGAGGATTTTTGCATCTGTGTTCATCAGGAATATTAGCCTGCAGTTTTCTGTTTCTGTGGTGTCTTTGGTGTTGACATCAGGTTAATGCTGGCCTCATTAAATGTATATGGAAACCTTCCTTCTTCTATTTTTTGTTATAGTTTGAGGAAAATAGGTTTTAACTTTTCTTTAAATGTTTGGTAGAATTTACCTATGAAGACATCTGTTCCTTGACTTTTTTGTTAGTTTTTTTTTTTATTATTGATTCTGTTTCATTACTAGTAATCAATCTGATCATTTTTTTATTTCTTCTTGACTGAGTTTCAGAAGATTGTATGCTTCTAAAAATTTATCACTTTCTTTAAAGTTGTCCAATTTGTGGGCATATGTTTATCTTTTCAAAGAACTAGTTCTTGGTTTCATTGACTTTTTTTTTTCCAGTTGTCATTTATTTCTGCTCTGATCTCTATTATTTCTTCCTTCTACATACCTTGGGCTTTGTTCTTCTTTTTCTGTTTCCTTTAGATGTAAGGTTAGATTGTTTGAGCTTTTTATTGTTTCTTGAGGTAGGCCTTATTGCTATATATATCCCTCTTAGAACTGCCTTTGCTATGTCCCAATATTTGGGAATGTTGTGTTTCCATTTTCATTTGTCTCCATGTATTTTGTTGATTTCTCTTTGCTTTGTTCACTCATGGTTGTTCATTATCATGTTGTTTAGCCTCCATGTGGTTCCCCCTGCCTTTTCTTTTGTTCTTTCTAGTTTCATACTGTTGTAGTCAGAAAAGATGCACAGTATGACTTCATTCTTCTGAAGTACTAATCATATGGTTGTTCTCCTGCATTTAATGTGTCATTTTTCTCTTGGCTGCTTTGAAGATTTCTTTGGCTTTCAGCAGTTTGACTATGATGTATGCCTAGGAAAGCTACTTTGTGTTTATCCAGACCGGTGTTCACTGAACTTCATGGATCCCTTTCATTTGCAGTTTTTAAGAGTAATCTCTCCTCCATCTTGTTTGGCTCTGATAAGTTTTCCAGCATCTCGAGAAAGTTGGGGAGTTTTTTGTAGCCTACTTAAAAAACAAACAAACAAACAAACGAAAAAATTGCTCCAGATTTAGCTATCTGTGGAAGGATTTATACAATCACATCACTTGACTACCAGTAAACTCCCTCTTACTATTAGGTTTGGGAAGAAAAAGGCAGAGACCCATGTCACACATTCACAAAAATAAATCCTTATAAATTGGGACTCACTAGAAGGCAAACACCTTTATCTGCTATTACTGAGGTATTCAGCCAGCAACAGAACTTGGAGAGAGCTGTGAAGGATAAAAGCTAGAATGTAGTGCATAGAAAACGTGTGTGCTCTTATTTGGAGTGATGTTTGAAAGTTGTGTCGACAGATTTTTTTGGAGGGGGCAGTGTCTTCTGTGAGCTCCTTGTGACTATGCAGATGTCATATGAAGATTAGCATATCGGATGTAAATTATCACTGAGCACACTTACTGTGCTTGAAGGGAAAAGACAGTGTTTGGGGCTCACAAGTGTACTCTAATTATAAATGTGGAAGAGGTTACAGCTATTCTTGTATTTTGATAAATTCTAAAAGATGTACCCATGCAGAATAAAGGATCTAAAGTGGGAGGGAGGAGAGAAAAAAATCATATTGAAACATATAGCAAATCTGGAAGCTATAAAATGAGGGAAATGCCTTATATCCCGGAGCTCTGGAAATGCCTACTTGGGAGATGTATCCTCCCCTCCTCCCTCACCTCTCTCCATCATTTCCAGCTCTGCAGACTAAAGCACAACCATCCTGTCTGGGCACAGAGTCATGACATCAAACATCATGTCAGAGGGTGAAGACTACAATATTATTGGGAGAAAGAATTTAGTCCAGGTAAAACTAAAAACTAGGGTTTTTGTTGTTGTTGTTCTTTTCCTTTGTGGAAGGAAAAAGGAGTGGAATATATGAAGAAAATTGTTGATTCTCCATGTCCCAAAGCAAGACACTTAAAATTTGCAGCTGCCTACAACCTTGGAAGAGCTTATTATGAAGGGAAAGGCGTCAAACGATCAGATGAGGAAGCTGAAAGGTAGTTTTTAGCTGAGAACAAGATTATTTTTTTTTTTTAATCAAATGCTGACACAAAGAATAACTTGCCTTGCCTTTCTCTTTTAGACTGTGGCTTTTTGCTGCAGACAATGGAAATCCAAAAGCTAGTGTGAAGGCTCAAAGTATCCTAGGATTGTATTATTCAACAAAAGAGCCTAAAGACTTAGAAAAGGTAACACTGATCTATTTGTTTTTAATGTTAGCACATGTAGATTAGTATTTATTTCACTATTTCTTTTTTGAACGGTGGGTGGTGAAGACTGAATGTTCAGTTTTAAAGATTTCTTATAGTTCTTTAAAATGTAAAGAAAGTTTACATTTTAGCATCTCAAAGCTCATTTCACCCTTTATTCATCCTCACTTCTACCAAAGGAGTCCACAGACGTGAGAGCATTTCCTATGCTATAAAAAGTCACACAAACAAAATAATAAAAACAAAATACCATGAAAGCTAAGAGAGTCCTGAAATATAGCCCAAATCCTTCACATGTGAATAAATTAAAATTAATTTGTTCTGAGAAAGTAATGATGCTAAGAAGTAAAATACACCAAAAACCCCTAGCTAAAAATTAAATCCATGTAAGGTTTTTACAGAAATACAATCTCTTTATTCATTAATGGCAAACATTTTCTAAGAAATCCTATGGGGAGAAGGAAATGTAGAGCCAAGTCCTACTGTAAAAGGCATTAAGGACAAACGTATAAGAAACACATAGCAACCAAGACCCTCTTCAGATAACTGAACAGCCACTTGGAAATAATTTTTTTAACTAATTCATATTCATTGTAGCTGCATATTGGGCAAATGTGCTCACGACCACCTGCAGCTTTTATTTTGGTTGCCTCTGATCTCAGTGGGCACCATCTCTGAGATCCACCTGGAGCTCTGACTGTCCCTCAGCCTCAGCTCTGCTCTCTCTGCTGTGCCTCGTTGCAGGTGTGTCTCAAAGCCTAGCAGACACTTAGTTCCTACTTCCTACCTTCCTGATCCTTCCTCCAGAGAAATGTGAAATTCTTGAATCCTAAGACAGCTGCACTGTCTAGACTGTGACCTAACCTACACTGTGGGTTGAAAACAGATGGGCTCACCTTAGCATTCTCTCCTAGGTATGTGAAACTAGTGCTAACCTGAAACACACTCAAGGTGCTAGAACAGTGTCCTAGACATTAATTAATTGTACCATCTTTTAATTACAGATCTTTCTTTCCAGTATTCCCTTACAATTTCCCCTGGTGAATAAGTTGAAATTGTGTTTTTTCTTAGGCATTTTATTGGCACTCGGAGGCATGTGGCAATGGAAATCTGGAGTCCCAGGGTGCACTTGGACTAATGTATTTTTATGGACAAGGCATCCGCCAGGATACTGAAGCTGCCCTGGAGTGCTTAAGGGAAGCAGCAGAACGTGGAAATGTCTATGCTCAAGGGAATCTTGTGGAATACTACTATAAGATGAAATTTTTTACTAAGTGTGTTACATTTTCCAAAAGGTAAATAAGCTCCATGGAAGCATTTATAACACCTCCTACTAGATGTTCTGCACCCAGGTCTGTTCGTAGAACTTGCCGCAATATTAGAAAAGATGGCTACTGAGCACTTGAAATGGGGCTAGTGCCTCTGAGGGCCGAACTGTTACATTTCATTGGATTTTAATTAATTTAAATAGCCATCTGTATTTAGTAGCTGCCATATTGAATAGTATAATTCTATGCCATTAGTCTTCAGGATTTCAGTGCTATTTGCTCGATATACCAGCTGAGCGATCTTAATCTAGTTTAACTTTTTTTGGGACATCAATTTCCTTTTTTATAAAGAAGAAAATGCTTCTACAGAATTATAAAAATGGTGTATATAAAGTACTTAACATAGTTTAGCATAACAGAAATGCTTATTAAATGTTTTAGTTTCTTCCTAGACTCTTTAGGCACAAGTTCTATCACTGCACAATTGCAAGATAGCTTGATAAAGATTGTAAAATGAGAATAATGGTTAAAAGACGTCAACAAAAAAAACAACAAAAAAAAATAAAAGATGTCAACATTAACATTTCATAAAATAACATGGAGATTTCTCTGAGCCCATGTACTTTCCTACATTTATTTGCTCATAACTTAAAAAAGCAATGTACCAAGAAAAGCAAACCTGATGTCCTCTAAGAGAGACACTATAAGGCCCTGCTGATGTTTCCCTCCCAATAATGCCTCACAGAGCTGCCAGGTCCCCCTCTTCCCTAGCCCAGGGTGGGGCAGCCATCTGCAACACAGGATGGAAGAGCTGGTTCTACCCTCTATCCCCCAGTATCATGGCTTCCAGGCAGTGGGCCACTTAAGAGTATGATCCCCAAAGTCCCAAATCTTCAAGTTAACACCAAGACTTTAAATTGTTCTTAAAATCTTTCAGACTTTCCATCATTGTCCACATTCCTATTCCCCATAATATCATGGGTGACACGGGGTTGAGTAGATTTCATTCTCACACAACTCTCCAAACTTGTGTCAGGGTGAAAAAGGAGGACTTTTTTTTCTTACCCATTTTTGACAAAGATAGATGTGTGAGTTACAGTATGTTTTCTGATCCTATGTGACCAAAGTCCAAATTTAAGGCCAATGTTTGAATAAATGACCCAAAGAAAAGAAAATGCCTTTCCCCCATTGTTTAAATCTGCAAAGTGATATTAAGTTTAAAATATTAATGTTAAAAAAATAAATAAATAAAAAAATATTAATGTTAAAAGAAAAAAAGAAATACATCTTTTTCAGTGGTTGTTAAGCCCGATAAGTAGTATCAGAGAGGCTGTGATATAACCACTCTGGTGGTTCCTCTTCCCCTGGTTTTTAACTTTATATTTACCCTTCACCACATAATAAACAACTCAGTTCTCAAACGGGGAGAAATAAGGGATATCACTGGGGTACAAGGACAATTTCTGAACATGTCCTTTTTAACTTCACAATTAACCATCACAACAGGATTGCTGACTACGATGAGGTTCACGACATCCCCATGATAGCCCAGGTCACAGACTGTCTCCCGGAATTCATCATCAGGGGCATGGCCATGGCATCCTTCTACCATGCCCGCTGCCTTCAGCTTGGCTTGGGTGTCACAAAGGATGAAGCAACAGCTAAACTCTACTATTCTAAAGTAAGTAAGCCTAAGAACATATATAAATCGACCCAAATAGAAAATTTCTGAGCTTTTAGTTAAGCCTTGAACACCTTTATGGGTTAGCATCTTTTTCCTACTGAACTGTTGTGCAGATCACCAGTGTGGGAGGGGTTGTCAGACACAGGGATTGTCTGCAGACAATTTGGCCAGATTCTTACAAACTCAGATGATATAAAAATCCCATTTTGATGCAAATTATTATCTCAGCACCCTGCTACTCTGCAGCCTCAGGCCCAGCACCAAGACCTTAAGGCCAGAATGCTGATGCCTTCTTCCACCAGGAAGTGTGAATCTATTCTCATTCTAGTACCTTAATGAAATCTAGTGTTGTATTTTTATTTTATTTTTTTGAAATCTAGTGTTTTAAAATGTCATGTATGACATCTGCCACACTTCAGAGGAGTATGCATGAGTTTGAGTTAATCAGTGGAAATAAATCTTTTCATGTTTCAATTCATGTGCTTTAGACCCCAAATGGATTTCATGTCTAAAATCAAGCAACTAAAAAAGTGGGAAGGGGGTTGGGGACCCGAGGAGTCATTATGAATAAGTGCAAGTATGGTTTTTAAAAAATGAATATGATAAAAACTGTACATGCCTTAGTTAGGTCCATGACATCCCTGAAGTCCAAACTAGAATTATTATCTTCTTAAAATTTATAAAGCAATTTGTGGGGTGCACAAGTTGTTTAGCTGGAGCAGGGAACAAGAGAAAGAACCATTTCCTAAATCCTTTGCCTGAATCTGACTATAGTACAGCAGTGGTTCCCAAGCTTGTCTCCATCTTAAAATCACCTGGGTATCTTTTAAAAATTCCAAAGCCCAGACCTTATTTCAGAACAAATGAATCACGAGCTTTTCAGGGGAGCTCCAATGTGCGGCAACTTTGGAAACCCTACATTATTTTGTTTGAGATTAGAATTTCCAGAGCATTAAGTCCACATCAACACATAAATATAGGAACTCAGTACACAAATACAACTGATGTTTGAGATATTTACCACTACACCATCCTGTTAGTAAGAAAAATAGTTGTCTTTAACTTTTAAAAAAAATCGAAAAGCTCTCTGAATTATACCAATTTCCAAACCAAGTCAGTTTCAGGTTCTGTGCCATCCATCATGTCCTTTCTAAATAAATGCAAGCAGAGAAAAATCTGGGCCAAATATATCCTGAAATGTGTATATATTCATTCCAAATACAACAGTAGAGCAAACAGACTGCAGTCTTAAAACTATTTTCCACATGGTGGGAGATAAGATCCCCATTACTCAATTTTGACTACTGTATTTTACAGAAGATGCTTTTAAAAATGGAGAAAATTCAAGAGTAGCAGGCCAGGGAAGGGTCTGGAATCCTGTCATATGAGCTGTGATAAGAGAAACTGAGTATTATATTCAGAAAAAAAAGGACAGGAGAGGGTGTGGACAGTGGTCTTCACCAGACTGAAAGGCTGTCCTACAGAAAAGGAACAGCCGGGGAGGGAGCAGAACCATAGCCAAAGGCAGGTGTTAAGTGTGAAAAAGGTAAGGTCCCGGGGGTGCAGAGACTGTGTGTAAGGTCGGGAGACCCAGGCCTGCTCTCAGCTCTGCCACCAACAGGATAGGTGACTGCCAGCAACTTTGCCTCTCTGGGTCTCCATGAAACCAGCTTCGTATATTCTCCTAGGACCTCTTCACCGAAGCTAAAGTATATGGAGGAAAATTTTAGCTTAGTGTAAAGAAAAATCTTCTAATACAACTGCTCAAGAAACAAAAGTTTTTCCTAGAAGACGTGTCTTAGCAACCAAGCAGGTATCCAGTGACCAAGTGTCTGGATCTGATCTGGATCTGATCTGTGTCTAACCTCTGATGTCTCTTCCAAATTCTTGACGTTCTAGGCCATTTTACATGCATTATTACTGCTCGCTTTTTACTTTATCATAATAAAATGTTATTTTAAAGTAAGATTATCATAGATGCTGCTATTCATATAAGATAGTAGCAAGTGTGGGCAGCCCCGGTGGCTCAGCAGTTTAGCGCCGCCGTCAGTCCAGGGTGTGATCCTGGAAACCTGGGATCGAGTCACATGTTGGGCTCCTGCATGGAGCCTGCTTCTCCCTCTGCCTGTGTCTCTGTCTCCCTCTCTCTCTCTCTCATGAATAAATAAATAAAATCTTAAAAAAAAAAAAAGATAATAGCAAGTTTGAGGCTAAATGTTAATGCTTTCCATGTTATTTTAATAATTTGTAACACAGAATGCTATCATCAGTGTGTAAATTGCCTTTATTCTCGGCACTGATAAAATTTTCTCTTTCAAGTCACAGCAGCATAGTTATTCTTTAGTGTCATCTTTTTTGCATAGACTAATATGAACCTCCTTTACCAGGAAATCAAAATAGAAATGTATCTCAACTAAGAAATTCCCCTGAAATTCACTATAGTTATTAAAAACAAACCAAAAACATTTCTTAAGTTTTAATAAGATACAACGCTTCAAAATATATCTAAATAACTGATGCTTTATCTTTGATTTTTAAGGCTTGTCGTCTGAACCCTGCACTGGCAGAGGAACTTCACTGTTTACTTATTCGTCAAAGGATTTAGACCATGACGCATTTCAACAAAGATCATCAATCCTAACACCTTAGAATGTGTGTATTTTCATAGGAGCTGTGTTTGGTTATATTCTGCAGCCCAAGTTACATTACCCTGGGTATTTTAAGCTGATGACATGCTACCTTCATTCTTAAATCTGTAATTTTGCAACTCAAAACCCAGCTATAGGATCAAATTACCAAGAGAGGCCCGAAGGAAGATTCAGCTCTTAGGCCTACAGACTGGCCTATGTCACATCAAATACAGAAAACCATTCCATAAAGCAAATACCTTTTTCTTTTAAATAGAGCATCCAAAAGACTTAGTGCAGTCTTAGCTGTAATTCCTTCAGAAATATAAATGCCAACAAACATTAAAAAAAAAAAAACACCATTTGAAAGTTTAATTCCTTAAATTTCTTTGATCCTTAGTTTTGTGAATTCTGGATAGATTATTAATTTTAATTTGTTGTCATTTAAAATTTTTAATTTGAGATTCACAAAACTAATAAGAAATAAAAAGAAATTTAAAGAAACTTTCAAATGATGTTGTTAAATAAATTTGTGTAGCATACTTCTGAAGAAATTAAAGTTACAACTGCACTAAGTCTTTCGGGATATCTTGTATTCTTAAAAAAGATTCTTATAAATAATTGGTTATTATAAACTTCAAAAAAAGTTTAAGAAATTGCTTAGAATCTGGCCTCTCCACATCTCCCTTAAAGATCTAAATGAGTAAAATAATGGCTATATTTCTGATAATTGGCTATAAGTAAGATGTTTCTTTGTGCTTAGACTAATTTTTTAGAATTAAAAAAACCTTAAGTGTATGTCAAAGCAAGTAAATATGAGTCTCAAATCATCTATCAATATAAGAACTGCAATTAAATATGCTAAAAATTTAAATTAGCAGCAGGCTTTTCTTATATTAATGAAGTCTATGAAGACAAAAGTTGATAATAAAAACCGCGGGATCCAGATGGAGAAGATGGTATAGTGGTGTGCATCTGTGAAACATACTCTGAAAACAATGTCGTAAAGATACCTTCATGATGCTTTCTCTGTAAACATACTAGACTGATGTGACTTTATTTTATAAATCACAATCATCCTTTCTGAAAGTGGATCTAACCAAGATCTCATATTAGTATAACTAATACGCAGTCACTAAAGAAGTATCATATGGGAGGAAATTACTTGTTCTTGTTTTACACTCTGGTTTTTCCGTATTACGTGAACTTTGTTTTGTCTCTATATAAAAGAAAGCAATTTCCATAGACTCAGGCCTGTGTGATACCCTCAAAGGATCACATACTTCTCCCTTAAATCTCTGAAGACAGATAAACTTAAACCATCCCTGAAAACTAATCCTTTTCTTTTAAAACCTCTACTTAAGACTCTCTATCTTCCCCCAGTAATATGTTTCAATATATCAAGTCCACGATAATATTTTGTAATACCTCGCTTAAATCTCTTTCTACAATATATAAGCCCACTTGCTTCGTATTTGTTCTCTTAATACCATCATGTGTAATATTCCTTCAACCATGTGAAGATCTAAATTCCCAACCAGTCTTTTCTCCTCACTTAATCCAGTCCCTTAAGCCTTTAAGAATCCTAAAATAGAAATGTAATAAGGCAGCGCTTGTTCGCTTTAACTGCACACTTAATAGATTAGCTATTGTTTTTCATCCCAAAGTCAAGGCCACTTTTTTAACTGAAACATTAAAACAAGGTCTGAGGCATCCCAAATGTAGGAACTTGACATGTGTCGTATGTGGTGATATGCTACCCTTAAATGTCTTCAGTGAATTGATATAAAATGCAAAATTTCAGTTTACTGTAGCTACCCTACAGCTGGTACTTCTGGCACGGGGGAGCCCTTGCACACTACGACTGCTGCAGACCATAGCAGACCCCCTCCCTGTGAGTGGTCAAGCAGTCTTTAACTCAAGTGAATTGAGGTTTTCAGATTATTAACCTTAAAATCAAAACTTCTAAGATTCCTTATAGCTGTTATGAAAAAAAGCTAAAATTTATGTTAAGGAAAGACTGAGGACTCAAAATGGTTATTTTGCTCATTTGCAGTATAAACTTTTAACAGCTATGGCTTAATTATGCATAAGGTGGGCATTACCAGTAACTATGTTATGAGGAGTTCCCGGGGTTTGGTGATCTCACATTGCTTCTCTTATTTGAATGTGTCTTTTCTGCATCCGTCTTTTCTGCAACCCTGTGAAGGATAATTCTTATTCATATAAACAGCCAACTTCAGGTTTTTTATCTTTTTCTGAACTGTCAAATATCAGCTTGGTTTGAAAAAAGGATCAAAGAGCTGTGATGAAAAGAATCCCAAAGATAAAATTTGGTTCACTAATTTTTAATCATTTATCTTTCAGAACTTATATTTCATATCAAGAACTTGGCAGGTAGGACCTAGCAATGCCATAATCAATACCACTTTAGTATAGAAACAGTATTGTTCTTTCATGGAATTCAGACTGAATTTTTGCCTATTAATCATTTTGCTTTCAACGCTCCCAGGTAGGGGGTCAGTTATAGAAGGAAAAGTGTTTTATTATCACTGCATAATAGGGGTGAAAACTGATAAATGACTTGTTCATGGCCCTGCTATTAATAACAAAACACCTTACCCTGGATTTCACCTAACGTCCTGACAAGTCTGCAAGACTTGATGATAAATCATGTCCCCCACGTCCCTGAAGTAAATTCCCACCTCGGATTCCCTGTCTCCCCCACTGCTGCCCATTCTTCAAAGTTCGGCTCCTATCTCTCTCTCCCTAACACATCATTTCAAGCACGAATTTGGCTCTTCTCATTCACCCTAAAAATCCTATTTTTCACATATTCATTCTCTGTCTGGAGAAAGGCAGCCAACTTTGTATTTCCTTGCAGAAGTACTTACTTATGTGCATGGTGCTTTCTACAAAAAAAAAAAAAAAAAAAGGTATTTGATAAATATTCGAACTGCTCAAAGTGTTTCAACCTCATTTTTTGAGGTATAAGTACCTTAAACATCATAGAGCTCAGTGATTCATTTTTTTGTATTTTATTGCTTCAAATGCTTCAAACTATGGGAAATCTTTGGTAAAAATAAAGACAATAAAATTTTCACAATAACTTTCCACAAAGCATTGCACAACAATGTTCTTCAATACACATGAAATAATACAGGAATGTTCAGAGTCCTCAGTGAGGAGAGTTAACTGTACAATAGTTGTAGTTCTTCATTTTAAAACAAAACTGTCTTCATAAATATTTAAAATATTTCCTAGGTTCTTATCACATATTAACATTTGTATTTCAATCAGTGTGTTGAACTTTATTTATATTATTATTAAAATAAAAACAATAAGAGAAATGTGTTTTTCTGTTGCCTATGACAGCATTAAGCTCTGCCCCACCCCAACTCTGCTCACTTCACACGAAACTAGAGGGAGGTAACTAACATACAAATCAATATGGTTCTCAATCAAGCCCTCTGTGGAAAAGAGGAAAATATTTCATGTCTATTGTTACACAGACATTTCTCGGGTGGTTTATTTGTGCAGTCTCAAACTTGACCAGTTTTCAGTTGATCTAAATGACTTCTCAGCTCAGGACACAACTCAATTAGCAGCAGTTCCATCAGCACCTGAACCAAGAGAGAAGAAAAAAAGTAGAAAAAAGTGGTGTTTTGTGTGGTTTTTTTTCCCTCTAAGGCTTGACTCAAAGTATTGATGTCTATGAGAAAAGTCTAATTTTAGGTCTGAGTTGATTCTCCGTGAGTAAGTTATTCTTGAATGATTAGAACTAATATAAACTCCATTTAGTATCAGATTGATTTGTTTCAGGGTCTCCCTGCCATCATCACACCACTGACAATATTTAGTATTGCTAATTATAACCAGATGACTGGGAAAGAGACTGCTTTCCTGAAATAAGAAAATTAAGCAGTCATGCAAAACTGTTATATGCATCAAGGCAGGAGGGACACCTGGTCTGAGAGCACGAGAAAGCCATACACACTAGAGGCACTCTTTTTCTTTTTCTTTTACCAAACTGAACAACTGAACAGTCAGATAAAAGTGAATCAGAGTAAAAATAAATGGATTCAGAACGGGTAACAGGAATAATTAAATATGTGAAGGGTTAAAATCGCTCCTGTATGTGAACAGAAATGTAAAATTGAATTGACAATAGATCCTCTGGTTGGCTTTAAATTACTCACATATAATAGATGCTTATTGGCTCTTGTTTCTTGCAGCGCATTGAATATTTTTATTATACCGTGACGGGCATTTTGCTGTCCAACAAGGCTCTGAAGCGTATCTGAAAAATTAAGTTTACATTCTATGCTGTTACTGATAAAGTGCACAATCCATTCATATTCAGTGAAGGAGACAGTACATGATGTATACGCAACAAAGAAAGGCGGTGGGGCGTAAGGCACAAGAACAATCAGTTTTTTCAAATGTGTAAACAGAAAATAAGTTTAGAATTTTTCAGAAGGCGTTTATACAAACTACAAACATAATACACAGCTACCCAACCAAAAATTAACCTCTCTAAACAGTGTACGTTAGCAGGACTTTAAGGCACAAAATTTATTATCTGTCCTAAAACATTTTTTTAATTAAAAGAGAGCATTATAACCACTACTGTTCTTATTAAGATTCTCAGTATAATTTCTTAGCAAAGGACATGCTTTAAAAGAAACGAAAAAGTGTGATCATTCTTCTTGCTGTAATAAAGTTTCCTGAGAGAGGTAAGTGGGGTTAACATTCCCTCTTTATCCGTGTGCTTTTCAGGACCAGAAGCCAGGCCTCACCTGGAATGTTTTCAAGAAGCTTCTGCCGTGCCCTCTGTTTTGTTTCCTGACTTCGTTCTTTGCTTCTGATTGTGGTCGGTGGTGCCAATTTCCCATTTGGCCAAAAAGCATCCCGGAAAACATTGATGTAGTAAACCAACATTTGCTCACTGAAAATCCAGCTCACTGTGTCCCGGATTTGTCTTTAAAAAAAACAAAACAAAACAAAACAAAAAACAGAAAAAACTTCTTGGATGAGGTTTTTAAGAATTGTTTATTCTCAAAAGGCATTTATCAACGGGTGGGTTAAGATACAGGCCTGATCTAAATGTCTGATGCATAAACTAGGAATTGGATTTTTAAACTCTGGCTCCGAAAGATATTTTTTATTTTGGTGGTGCTGGCTGACCATCCATCCACTCCTGGAGCTCACATCTCCACTGGTACTGACCTCTCCATATGTCTGCCGGGCAGCACCCTGCAATCTGTAAAGACA